GTTTCAGAGTTAGCACCACTTTTTTTTTTTTTTTTTGGCTGCACTCTGTGGCATGTGAAACTTCCCCAACCAGGGATCCAGCCCATTCTCCCTGCAGTGGAAGCGTGGATGAGTCTTAACCACTGGACCACCAGGGAAGTCCTGTACCACTTGTTTTAAACGATATCATCAGGAGATGAGCTCTAACAGCATATCAGTAAGGCATTTAAAAGAATGTACATCCTTAATGATAAGACTTCTGCAACGAGAAAGGCACTAAGCAATTTCTGAAGGTGATTGGCTATCAGTTTTTAGTTATACAGCTAGATAAAGACTTTTAAAAGTAGTGTTTGTATAAAGCCAATTTTATGCCACTAGTGAGTAAAGACCTGTCCTTCCAGCATCCACTATACGTCTTAAAACTTGAATGTGCACTTTTCTGTCTTGATTTTGAGAGAAAGCGAGCAGAGTAACAGCATGCAGAAACTGCTTTAACCCCAAATAGAGCACAGACATCTTGCATATTACTAACAGTAACCCCTTTTAAATTTGCATTACACTTTGTAGTTTTCCAAAGTACTTACACCTCCCTTATCTGCCTGGATCTTCAGAACTGCCTTGGGCAGTGCTAATACTAGAAACAGGTCTTCCACATCAATGTCAGTGCTCTGTGTTCTGGCCCAGTGCCTCGTGGTCCTCGCCCCCCAGGTGAAGCTGCGAAGTTGCTGCCGTCCGTGGCTCTGTGGCTGCCTCCTGTCTGCCCACGTGAGGCCCCCTGCTCTGCCTGATCTGCTTACCAGGAGGTAACAGGCACGGGATCGGTGACTGTACCCGGAGCCTCACCAGCTTTGCTGGCAGACCTGCCCTTGCCCTTGTTTCTACTAGTCTAGTTCCAGTAGTCCAGGGAAACCTGTTCCATCGCTGCTGGTTTTTAGCGCTATTGTCTGGATTTGTAACTGTAAAAATATCTGTGCTGTGTGGGTTCGTGGGATATTTCCAAGGAGGGGGAGCTCAGTCTTTGGTCACCCTTTTGTTTTCTAGGAATAACGGCCTTATATTCTGGACTGAAACCTACCATGATTCGCGCGTTCCCTGCCAACGGGGCACTCTTTTTGGCCTATGAATACAGCAGGAAGTTGATGATGAGTCAGTTTGAAGCATACTGAAGTGTTCTGGCAAACCTTGATCCAAGTGAAGCTGTTTGAGGACTGCAGTTCTCAGGGTTTCAAGGAGTACAAGACCAATGTGGAATTTTTTGATTTTGTGGGAATCTTTTATTTTGTCTTCCATTTTTCTATCTTCTACCTTAAACTTTATAGAAGAGCTTCTCTTTTATATTATATAATTTCTGCCCATAACTGTAGTGAAGTGGAAAAGTTGCTGCTCTTGTCCTTGGTGGGACATACAGGGTGGGCTGCTGGCCCTAGCTACCTAATCTGAAAGGCTAAGTAGAGCTATATCAAGGGCTTTTGCGTAAACCTGTATGTGTACGTGCAGTGTAGATGGTTGTGTGTTGTGAGTGAAGCACAGTTTAGTTCCGTGTTTAATCTCAGATCTCACTAGAAAAAACCAGAGGTAACCATGTTTCATGAGGATGGTTATAAATGCTTCATCCATTCTAGATGTGGGTCTCTTTTAAAATCTACTTAGCACGTACCCTTTAATAAGTGGTTAAAGTTTTTAAAAAGTTTTCCTGTGGTGCTTGAAAACTAAGGCGTCCGTCTAGATTCTAAAGAGGAGAATATACCTGCATACTGGTGTGGCTTCCATGTTCTTGATTTAAGTTTCAGAGTAAGCATCCTGGATTTTCCCAAGGTGCTCCTCTGTGGAAACAGTGCCATCCATCTTCTTCCAGGTGGGATCACATTCCACGCCCGGACATATTGTTGGGTGTGGCCTAGAGCCTTTGGGAAGCAGCACGGCCCTCGCCTGTGCCAGCCCCTCCTCCTCCTGTCCCAGGGAGCTCCTCTCTGCTGGGCTTGAGCTCGAGGCAGGGGCTGAGGGGAGGGGCCTGTGGTGCTTTGTGAAGACTGTGGCTGACAGCTGCCCTGAGCTGCTGCTTCTGTGTCCTGGCCTGGGCGGGATTCCAGGGAAGTCTGTCGGACCACCTACGGGCTGCTGATCCACTTTGGACCACGCCCTCCTTGCCTCTGCCAATCGGAAGCCCTTCCAGGGAGCAGAGTGCCAAAGCCAAGAGAGGCCCTGGCTCCCCGTCTGGGGACAGAGTGGTGGTGCTTGTGGGCAAAGCGGTCTCCTTTCAGAGGGAACCAGAGTGTCGTGCTTGCACTCCCCGTGAGTGGTGTCAGGGCTGACCCAGGCTGAAGTTTGTCTCGGGATCCCTCACTCCTTACCACGCTGGAGCCTTTAATATGGGGTACTGGCTGTCGTGAATTTCAGTGATGGTGGTCTCTGGGGTGTGACTTAATAAATCAACGAAGCAAAGGTAATTTCATTAAACTATGCTGTACGTATGCACTACTAACAAACCCTGGTTCATCTGACTCCCGTAGACTTGGGATGGGCAGCTGTTCCCTGGCCGTCTGGCTTACGGGAGCCCTTGTCGTCACCAGTGAAGTCAGCCGCCTCATTCTGTGCTGCTCCGAGACCCCCCAGGCCTCTAATAAAGAGTTCTTAATCCGCCCCTGGGGCTGATGTGTTAATAATGATCCACACTGGTATGTCCACCCCTGTCGGCAGAACGGAAGCGTTGTGTGTGAGACCTCCAGTTTCCACAAGCTTTTGTTCTCCCTGCAGCCTCGGTGGTGACTCCGGCCAGAAGCCAGAGAGGGTCGGGAAGGCCAGCTGCTGGCAGACGTTTAGCGGAGGGGGGATGCCCGGTGTTGTGCCCGATGGGCTCCAGAGCTATGCCTGGTCTTCGTTTGCCTTTTCTTGAAAAGCAATTTTTCTACCTTACTTTTGTCCGTACTTAAATGGTCAGTAGCTACTGAGTGGTGCTTCTTCTGAACAGGCCTGGATTGAAGCAAAAATAGCAAATGGGACGGGCTTCCCCCAGGAAGTGACCTGCTCCAGAGCCCACCGGGCCCCTGTTGTCTAAGCCCTGTTGGCAGTAGGTCTTCTCACGTGTTGTCCTGTAAAGATTTAACTGAATATCTTCAACAGAAACTGTCTGAGGCAGGTAAGAGTGCGTGGGAGTAATGAATGGAAACTTGAGAGTTGTTTTTTTTTTTTAACGTTTCATTCTCTTTGCTTAATTCATGGTTCAGTATTTGGGTACAGTTTGTACCATTTCAAATCTGTACTCCGGACAAAAATAGAGTAACTTGAAATACTGTGTTTAAAGAAATTCTCGTGTTCTATCATTAAATTTGCCTAATAGTTGACTGTATGATTTAAGTACTTTATGTGGTAAGAACCGTCAGGAATGTTTGAGTTATGTATGGTGATATTTCAAGGTGATGGTTTTATTGCAACGAGCATTGTTTTTTTTTGTCAGCAAGATTCCTGATGTAAAATAACTACTGATATAAATGCACATTCTGTATACACTGCAGTTGCGAAACGTGGCCCACTAGATTACTCTCCCTCCACCAGGCTGTGTATGCGATGTGACTGATTTGGCAGGATGCCATTCTATTTTTTAAAATAAACTTCTGGATATCAAGTTTTCCAGGTCAGTAAATTCTATTCAAGAAAACCAATATCGTTCTGATATATTATGATCTAAGTTTCTCAAGTTGTTTAACGAATTATTTGCACGGGGTTCTAGGAAAGCAGCCCTGCTGGAGGCCCTGAACAAGTTCTCTTTATGAGCAAAAGCAGACTAGTGTGACAGCTCATAATTGCCAGAAATTTTCATCCATTTTGGAGGGCTAGGGAAGAGAAACCCCCAACTGTAATTTCCTTTATTTCAAAAAGCAAGATTCTGAAAAACTGGGGTTTCCCAGCTTTTGCCCGTGTTAAAAGTAGATCTTACTCCTCGCTTTTTTTCCCATTCACCTAGGCCTGCCCACTGATCTGCCCTCCACGGATTACAGCTGCAGGAATTTTAAAGGAAATAACCTGGGCTGCCACAATACATTTCTGTAACCCAAATTACAGGGAATAATGTAGTCATAACATGGAAGGAGTTTGAAAGGCTGTGTCTCCAAGAGCTCTTCCCCCAAGGGGAGTCAGATTAAGGGGAGTAGAATAACCTTTGCAGCTGCACTTTTTGGGGGCTATTTTGAGGGGGAGAGAAGCCCCTGCATGGCCTTCCATGCCACCACGCTGGCGGCTCGGGGCTCTCCTCCCATCCCTGCTAGGTCGGCACCCACCAACCCTTCTCTATAAACTGTTGCTCTTGTTTCCCTTAAAAAATACTGACTGTGGCAACCTCCAGACCTCGTGGGGCTGCCAACCCAAGTGGCCAGTGGTTAGTGCGCTGTTAAAACACTGCTTAGTTGGAATGGTCTGTCCCAACCCCACAAACCCTATTTTTTTATCGTGTGCTTTTTGCAAAGTGCAAGGTTTTTCAGGAACGAGTAGTCTGTGTTTTAGCAGAGGCACTGGTTCTCATGATTTGCTACTTTTCATTTCCTGATCAATTCTACTTGGGCTAGATTGTTGAGAGCCTTGCCAATAAAAGGAAAATCACTCAAATAGTAAAGCCAACATAGAACTGTTTGTTTTCAAAGACAATTATGGCCTTAAGATAGTGGCAGTGAAAGTACTTAGAATAAAGTAGCACCTGGTACCAAAGAGAAAATGATTCCCTGTGGACACAGGACTAACCAGTGTCTATAATGAAAACTTGACCTTACTTCAGAGTTCCCCAAGCATAGGTGAAGCTGGTCGTGAGCAGGGGTGATGGGTTTTAAAACGATCTTTGCTGCCATTCTGATGCTCGTTAATAGTTTGTAAATCAAGTAGAAGAAGGAATTAGAAATTACTTTTCTAACAAATCTGAAATTACAAATGTAAACCAAAGTAGGGAATGAATACTTGTCCAAAAATACATAAGTAAATAAACCCACAGGACTGGGGGACAATCACAATTTTTAAATGTTATTTTGATAGGAAAGTTTTATTTCTGAGTTGTTAAGTGATAACGTTCCCGTGTACTGTTTCAAATTTATCTCAATACAAATGAAAACTGTGACATATGTTCTTTCAAAAAAAACTATTGCCATTGACATTCTCTTTTGTATATATTTAATAGAGTTCTCAAGGACATATGTATCTATATCAGCAAGGAAATAGGTTTAAAAGATATAAATAGGTAGCAAGGATTGGGAAGAACATGATTCTAGCCTAGAAGGGGAACTACACTTAGATAACGTCATCAAAATATACCTCGACTGCGAACTCTGGACGGTAAATTTTCCATGCTTTTGGTTTGTGGGGATTATCCAATTCACTTCTTGAAAGATAAAGCCTAGAATAGAAAAAAAAAGATTACATTTTATTGTAGGGCTAACAGAAAAGCCATGCTGTAGGACACCCTTGTTAGAGCTTTAAAAAAACAAGCCTTGCTGGCCACCATCAGTCTCGACCCCTCCCTCTGCATCTAATTAGCTTTCAAAGACCAGCTCTCCCACTTTCTCTCTTAAGACACAAAAATATCATGACCTTCAGTAACAACGTGTCACTGATCCTTTTAATATTGCCTTTTATGGAATTAATATTTAATAAATTAAATTTCTATATGTGATAAATCAGACTAGATGTGTATTAAAACCCAGTAATAACAAGTGTCTTTTAAATGATGAAGTTGGCATTTTGGGTAAATTAAGTCTCATAATAAAAACAGCTTTACCAAGGAGTATGGAAATTCACACGTTAAATCTTCAGAAACTATAAAAGTGAGGAGAAAAGTGATTTAGCAGGTTGCTTCTCTAATATGAACATGGTGTTTTAAAGGAAAAAACTGTGCCCTTTAGCAAGAACCACTTTTGAGAAGTAGTACCAAATGAAGTTCCACCTAGACGTCTGTCTGTATACATCCAGGGAAAAAATTGGTAAAGATGTTCCATCAAATCCAAAGTTCACTCTATCAATATCCACTAAATGTGTGTGCATTGTAGATGTTTAAGGCTAGGTTTTTATTTACCGTCCCCTTAGTGGACTTGAGGTGGGATTAGATGCAGTCTACATTTGAAGAAAAGGCTAGGATTGTATGTCATGGGAACTGTCAGTTCATGGCACATACAATCATAACCACTTCTTCAAAACTCTTTATGATTTTTTTGAATATTATCTTTCCTTTTGTATTGAATGGTATGGTGATACCAATCACAAATTTTCACCACAGAATAGACGATGTGGAGAACTTCTAGATTTAGGAATGAGTTTCAGATATGATAGAGGTTCTTTGGAATACTTGTCAAATCACTTACTTTTTAAAAATAGATTATCCGATTTAGTTATAAGAAAATCAGTTTTAAATGGGAGACCATTAATTTTTTGAAAGCTGTCTTCACTGATACTTACTGTGTCTTATAACTTCTGCCCTAGATGTAAGTGTGTCAACTACATTTTAAACTAGCTGAAGCCTCCCTGGATGACACCTTCCTGTGGCATAGAATTTGGTGTTGGTCAGTCATCAGTAAATCAACACATACTGAGGACCTACCATATTCAAGGTACTGAACAAACATGGGAGGGATTTGTTGCCACACTCAAGATCTGCTTATAGTATGTTTTATAACGCAGTCCTATGGCATGGACCTTGAGGATAATGCAACAGTGGGTCTCAAGAATAGCCATATTTTTACAATCAGAGAAGAAAAGGAATCCAAATCGGAAAAGAAGTAAAACTGTCACTGTTTGCACATGACATGATACTATACATTGAGAATCCTAAAGATGCTACCAGAAAACTACTAGAGCTAATCAATGAATTTGGTAAAGTAGCAGGATACAAAATTAATGCACAGCAATGTCTTGATTGCTATACACTAATGATGAAAAATCTGAAAGAGAAATTAAGGAAACACTCCCATTCACCACTACAACAAAAAGAATAAAATACCTAGGGATAAACCTACCTAAGGAGACAAAGACCTGTATGCAGAAAAATATAAGACACTGATGAAAGACATTAAAGAGGATACCAACAGATGGAGAGATACACCATGTTCTTGGATTGGAAGAGTCAATATTGTGAAAATGACTATACTACCCAAAGCAATCTACAGATTCAATGCAATCCCTATCAAACTACCAATGGCATTTTTCACAAAACTAGAGCAAAAAATGTCACAGTTTGTATGGAAACACAAAAGACCCCGAAGAGCCAAAGCAATCTTGAGAAAGAAAAACGGAGCTGGAAGAATCAGGCTCCCTGACTTCAGACTATACTACAAAGCTACAGTAATCAAGACAGTATAGTACTGGCACAAAAACAGAAAGATAGATCAATGGAACAGGACAGAAAGCCCAGAGATAAACCCATGCACATATGGTCACCTAATCTTTGCTAAAGGAGGCAAGAATATACAGTGGAGAAAAGACAGCCTCTTCAATGAGTGGTGCTGGGAAAACTGGACAGCCACATGTAAAAGAATGAAATTAGAACACTTCCTAACACCATACACAAAAATAAACTCAAAATGGATTTAAGACCTAAATGTAAGGCCAGACACTATAAGACTCTTAGAGGAAAACATACACAGAACACTATGACATAAATCACAGCAAGATCCTTTTTGACCCAACTCCTAGAGTAAGGGAAATAAAAAATAAACAAATGAAACGTAATGAAACTTAAAAGCCTTTGCACAGCAAAGGAAACCATAAACAAGATGAAAAGACAACCCTCAGAATGGGAGAAAATATTTGCAAACCAAGCAACTGACAAA